TCACATCCAAAGTTGACGTTTACAGCTACGGAGTGGTGGTGTTGGAGATGGTCACCGGAAAAAGCCCGATGATAGGTCTTCACACCTCTGACAATTCAGGAGAGATGGAACAAAGGGGTCTACTTAAGTGGGTGAGAGAGAAGATGAATGAAAATGTTTCGAAGGAATTGTGGCTTGAAGAGATCATAGATCCAATGATAAAGGATAGATATGACGCAAGTAAGATGGAAATATTAGTTGAAGTGGCATTACAGTGTGCAGACGAAGACAAAGATGCAAGACCAACTATGAGCCAAGTAGTAGAGAGGCTTCTGCGCCATGAGGCAGGTAATTATTAGCAAAATAAAAGGCCTCATCAATATAAATAAATAATATAAAGATTATTAGCAAAGGCCAAATTGAAGTTTCTCTAAATGTAGCAAGCAACAATCAAGCCTCCCCCCAGCATGGCAAAGGAGAAAGCCACTTTAGTTGCCTACTTTTTAGGTTGTGTGTGGTTGTCTTACTGTCTTTTATGGTTCTGGATCTTTTGTACCAAAAATTATATCATCCCATCCCAATCTATTTATAGTCTTTAAATCATACTCTTCTCAATTATCATGTTAAAAAATTATTGATAAATGAGTGATTTTGTTGATTTAGAAATGTTAGAAAGTATAAACATTTCTACAAGGCTTCTTTAAAGACCTCTTTGTATATAAGAAAAATGTTAAAAACAACTTTGAAGGCGGTTGTTAGTGTTGAAAAATATATATAAGAAGTTTTAAAATGTGTAAAGAACGAATAAAAATAAGTAAAAGTGTTTGGAATATGTAAAATATGTTTTAAGATTATAAATATTTTGGTATCATATGATTCTTATTGCTATCATTAACAAGACCCTATACATATATATATATATATATATAGAATTTTCCAACACAATAAAATATACGTATTTTTTAATTTTAAAAAGTTAAAATTATCATCCAATAGCATAATTGAAGGAATATAAATATTAAAGACTTACAAATTCATCCACAATGATGTGTCATCAAAATTGACTTTATATGATTGAATGTAAGTAAAATTAATATCTATCATATCATATCAGTGTAAGTTAAATTTAAAAAAATTTCTTTTACAGGTCTCAAATATTTTCCTTCAACCAAATATCTTACCATTATGGGCATTGTTATGGCTATCCTCATTGCACAAAAGATTCTCCGCTCTCTTATATTTGCCTCCACTCATTGCGTATGTACATAATTTAATATAATATGATAGGACAATTTGATAAAAATCTATCTTATATATATATAAAGAAAAATGAGGTTTTTAATGAGAAAGTCTTTTTGAAGCTAAAACTCTCATGCTGTTTTTTTTTAGAATTTTATTTTTTCAAAAATTTAAAAATTGTTTATTGGCTAGCTTTTATTGAATCATTTAAAAAAAATAGTAATTAATCCATTTATATTTCTTGATATATGACTTTCAAATGAAAAGTATATTTTTTTTTGATCGGCAAAGAAAATCTTTATTGATGAATGTATGCAAAAAAAAAAGATACAGGGCATCAATAAAGAGGAGCTTGGAGCTTACAGAAGCTCCAAGCGCCAGTTGGTGAGAAACCAACAGCGACACAAACAGAAAAAAAAAGAAGGAAAACAACAGGGTTGCACTACAGACTACAACATCACTTTGAACTTCACACGCACTTAAGGGACAAAACCACTGCAGCTTAAAATCAGACAGCAGGTGAGACTTCACAAAATCAGACTTCACAACAACCAAATTGCACAACAGTTCAAACCTGCAGTAGCAGCAACGGCAAAACCACTAACAGACCAAAATTATTTTACCAAAACAGCAGATCAGATCAACACTGCATAGGCATTCACAAACCCAAATTATTTTGCCAAAACAGAACTTATATTAAAAGCATTCCCTAGCAACACGAAGTGGATCTGTTCAGTGGCACCTGCAGACCAAAATGGAGCAGCAGGCAGTGCATGTGGTTTACCAGAATTGGACTGCCAGAGCACAGAAATAGCACTGATGCACAGCTAAACCGAACCAGCAGACAGAACAACAAGGCAGGCATGCAGAAACAGAATATCAGAACACTGACAGAGCTTCAACCCAAGTAGCACACTGGAACAAAACATCAACCCAGATAGCACTAGACTGATGCTAGAGCGCTAGATTCCGCCCCTAATCTGCCTCCAATTGTGGACGAGATCATCAACTGAGTACGGGAATTCTTTAATGGAAGCTTTGAGCCAAATGGCAGATCTGTACTTTATAAGATCTAACAGTCCTGAAGGAGAGGGTTGTGTATTAGAAAATACACACTCATTTCTGAGTTTCCAAATGGACCATAGTACAATTAAGGGGATTGCTCTCCATAATAGTCTGTCAAAATTATTGAATTTCCAGCCCATCCACCAATAAAGCAGGCCCTCTACAGACTTAGGAATGCACCAATGTAGGCCCCAATCCTTAATAACCACTGACCATATTGACCAAGAGAAAGAACAATGAAGCAGTACATGGGGAGCAGTTTCTACTTCAGAGTTGCAGAAGTGGCAGAGGGGAGAAGCATTGCTGTCAAGGGATCCAATCTTGAGCAGAAAATCAGAACATTTGATTCTAGATTTCCAGGCTAGCCAGGTGAAAAAAGATACTCTGGGGGGCAAAAGTGGGTTCCAAACAAATTTGCTAACCTTGAGATGAGGGCCTAAGAGGGATGAGTAGTGAGAATAGAGGGCAGAAGCAGAGAAGCTTTGACCAGATTCTGTGCACCATACGAAGCAGTCTTCACAATCCAAACACAGAGAGGGAGCGGAGGATAAGAGAGCATTCATTCTCACCTCTTCAGCCAATTCCCATGAATATAACTCTCTTCTATGGGGGAGATTCCAATCAAATGGGCTTGACCTCCTTGCGTAATAATGATTGAGGGAACCTTCCTTATCATTTGACAAGTTGAAGAGGAGGGGAAAACAAGATTTCAAACAAAGGCCACCACACCAATTATCAAACCAAAATCTGATTCTAAAGCCATTCCCAACCTTTACACCACATTGGCCCACAAAGAAATTAAAGATAGGCCTATTGAGGGCCCCTATTGTGAGGATGTCCCTCCAGACTCTAGAGTGTTTGTATGAGAGACTCAAAGGAGGGAACCAACAGGAGTTGTTAATTTTATATTTGCTGCATACAATTGACCTCCAGAGAGCATTGGTTTGAATACCAAACTTCCACCACCATTTGAGGAGTAGACAAACATTAACGTCTCTGACCCTTCTAATGCCAAGTCCCCCTTGATCAATTCTCTTTGTAACTTCCTCCCATTTCAGTAAATGCACTTTCCTTTTAAGATCACTGCTACCCCATAAGAAGGCAGCCTCTAGCCTTTCTATTTCCTTAGCCACTCCTTCCGGCATTTTAAACATGGAAAGAAAGTATATAGGTAAGCTAGATAGAGTGGACTTGATTAAAGTTAATCTACCAGCAAAGGACAGTAGTTTTCTCTTCCAACCTGACAGTCTAGCCTTGATTTTTTCAATTACAGGCTTCCAAGTAGATTTCCTTCCAGGATTTGCTCCTAGAGGCAGCCCCAGAAATTTTAGTGGAAGACTCTGTACTTTGCAATTGAGAAGAGAAGCATAGATATTTAAGCAGCCTTCATCTACACCGACACCACAGACGACACTCTTATGGTAATTTATTTTGAGGCCAGATAATACTTCAAAACATCTGAGAACCCTTTTAATGGATACCAATTGAGCATAGTCAGCTTCACAAAAAAGGATTGAATCATCGGCAAATTGCAAATGTGAGATAAGAACATTGTTAGATCCAACAACCACCCCTTTGAGAATACCAAGATTGAGGGCTCTGACTAGAAGAATGTTTAGACCTTCCGCCACAATGTTGAATAGAAAAGGTGAGAGCGGGTCCCCCTGTCTAAGGCCCCTATGAGGTGAAAATTCCTCAGTTGGTGAGCCATTCACTAAAATGGAGATTCTAGCTGTGGAGACACAAATCTTCATCCAAGCGATCCATTTATCCCCTAAACCAAAACTGCCCATCAAAGAGAACAAGAATTCCCAGTTGACAGAGTCAAAAGCTTTCTCGAAGTCTAATTTGAGAATCAACCCTTGTTTTTTGGCCTTCTTCCATCCATCCACTACCTCATTAGCAATAAACACCCCATCCAGAATATTTCTCCCTCCCAAGAAGGCTGTCTGTGTTTCACCAATTATTGAGGGGAGCACTGACTTTAACCTGGATGCTAGGACTTTGGCCAAGATTTTGTATATTGATCCCACAAGACTAATAGGTCTGTAGTCAGATAGACCAATAGGGTTGTCCACCTTGGGAACAAGGGTGATAAATGAGCTATTAATGCCATATGCAAGCTTGCTGTTAGAGTGAAACTCTTTGAAAAATTGCATTATGTCCGTCTTCATAACCTTCCAGAATTTTTGATAGCACAGTAGGTTGAACCCATCAGGGCCTGGAGCTTTGTTATTGTTACAGTCTTTGATTGCTGCAAGTACCTCAGCTGCACTGAACTCAGCTACCAGATGTTGGGAGACATATTCCGGGTCAATGGTGTTGAATGCCCCTGACAGAGAAGGCCTGTTAACCCATGATTCAGAGAATTGGGCCTTGAAGTGAATGAGAACTTGTTGCCTAACTCCAGTAGGATCCTCAATGGACACTCCATTTACTGAAATAGAGTTGATGAGATTACGATTCTGCAGAGAACTTGCAACTACATGAAAAAACCTACTATTTTTATCCCCATTGATAACCCAATTCAATCTAGATTTTTGATGCCACATCCATTCTACCATTCTATATAGCTTCCACAACTCGCCTTTAACCTCCCTTCTTCTTGCCTTTTCTGAAGCACTCAGTGCTCTTTCCTCTGCAGTTATATCCAGAGCATGTAATTCATCTTCTGAAGATTTTATTTTAGAAGCCATATTGCCAAACACCTGAATGTTTCAAAATTTTAAGACTTGCTTCAGATGCTTTAGCTTTTGGGAGAGTATATACCCAGACCAGCCCACAAAAGAGGTATCTGACCATGATGAGACAAAGAATGGAGCAAAGCTTGGGTGGAGAGTCCACGCATTTAGGAACCTGAAGGGTTTTGGCCCCCAATCTCTGGAATCCTCCATCATTAATAGAGGGCAATGGTCTGAGATTAGCCTGGGTAAACCCCACAGTTTCATTGAGAATTTAATCATCCATTCAGGACTTAGTAAAATCCTATCAATTCTGCTCCATTTCTCTGATTCCTGGGCATTGCACCATGTGTATCTCCTCCCATGAAGTGGTAGATCATGAAGCTCACTATTACCAATGAATTCATTAAGATGCTTCATGCCCCTGTCTCTCCTAGAACAACCAACTCTTTCACTAATATGGCTAATTTCATTAAAGTCACCACCCATGCACCAAGGAAGAGGGAAAAGGGATTTAAGCTTTAAGACACTAGCCCAAAAAGAAGATCTGGCACCAACATCATTGGGGGCGTGTATATTAAGCAGAACACAGTCAAAAGTGTTATATAAGGAACCTGAGAGTAGGATGTACCTCCTATTGCAGCAGCAACCAGAGAGTGTGAAAACTGCAGGATCCCATATGCATAGCAGGCCTCCGGCTGTTCCTTCAGGATCAACAGACATAAACTCCATATTTTTACTTCCCCATAGCCTTCTAGCTTCACCCTCTGTTATAATTGCCCTTTTGGTTTCTTGAAAAAAAACAATATCAACATTTCTGTCCTTTAGGAGCCTCTTGATTCTACCTTGTTTCTCCACCTTCCCCATACCCCTGATATTCCAGGATATTAACTTCATGATAAACCCATTGATTCTCTCATAGGGCCTTACTCCTTTCCTTTACTGCTGGTCCTTCCCCTCCTTGGCAATTTTCTCCTTGTCTTTAAGTTCTAGTTCAGCAATTTTGTGGAGCACAATGCCTTCCTTCCCATGGTAGTCTATTCCAAGAGACTTCCCTAATTGTATTGTAGCTGCAGCTTCAGAAAGAATCTGGTTTCTCAGAGAAGAATCACCTGCAAATGAGTTAGACTGGGCTAGAGCTTTAGCAGCAGGCCTGTAGATAACAGATTTAGAATAGTGCTTCTTGGCTGCGTTGTTTGTGTACGCATGAATCCTAGCAAAGCTAGTGAACCCCTCCATTTGTGACTTCATCTTCCCTTTATTCCTCAGGTTTCGCTGATGTTCTTTGCTGGAGACTGAGATTGAGTCTTGAGCTGACTGGGTATGGGCAAAGTTATTCCTCATACACGGGTTTAAGTTGGTCAAAGGGCCAGAAATTGAATCATTGTCTGATGCAGGTACATTGGGCCTACTGGAAGGGCGATTGGAATGAAGGGGCCTGCAGTTTACGGGCTGCTTTTCAAAGTGGGCCAGGTCCACTTCTAAATTAATGCCGGGTCCACCACCAGCATTTGCCTCATTCATACAACGTATAAACCCAGGTGTATAAACTTGTTCAATACACTTTTGTCTCTCATCATTGATATTTGAAAAGTGGTCAGCCTTTTCCATCAAATCTATCAGAGGCCTCTCAGCACACGCTCCTCCTCTGTTTACGCCTCCATCACAGGGTGTCTTCTCAACCATTGTGTCCATCGGACACGCAAGCTCAGCACCAAACATGGCCTTACCCGCTGCCACCTCATCATCTTCTTCCCTCGCCTTACCATCTATCACTGGAATATTGTCTTCCTCAACACTGCAACAGGTTGCAAGAGACTTGGCCTCGTACATGCCATTATGGTATAGGTTACTGAGATCTGGTTGGAGGTCTTCACACACAAAGATCTTATAATCTTCACCATTGCAGTCCAAAGTTAAAGATTTAGCAATAAACTCCATATTTGTAGTGGCTATCCTAATCCTGGTGTGGGAGAATGATTTTGGTTCACACAAGTCTCCCTCAATGCTGAGTACCGAGCCCCATAAACGACCAATCTTGGTGAGAGTACTTTTATTCCAGACATGTAAGGGTATCCCACAGCATTTGAGCCATACACATCGTTCTTGGACAAAATGATTTCCTGATTTGAGCGCTGCCACAAACTGACTCAGATCCTTAAACCAAGCTTTGAGATTGTCGATGTTTGATGCCAACTCCTCCTGAGTGTTAAAACTTAATATTACATCTCTTCCACCCCCATGCCTAACCAAAATATGCTCCAGACCTTTCTCCTTCAATGCTTCACGAACACTGTGTATGGAGTGTTCTGTATTCAGGCGGATAATGGCACTTTCATAGAGCCAACCGTTACCCTCTTCAGTGACTTTGATAGGGGTGTTCGAATTCACCCCTTGCACAACATCAGCAAAGGATCTCTGGCAAGCAAATGGATTAAGTCCTCTGGATCTGTTTGCTTCAATAGTTCTCCGGATGAACTGTGGTTTCATAAGTTCTGGATTCCGCCTGTTATGCTCCTCCCTCTTTCTTCTATCAAGAGTTGCAGCTTTGACTTCTAGAACTTTGTCATCCACCAGAAGACCGTTGGCTTTTTGAATGGCTATATCAGCTGCTACATTACAATCGAACCTCACAAATCCGAACCTAGAATGTGACACTACTCGTCTTTTGGAAGGAATGAATACATCCTTGACTATGCCAAATTTTGTGAAGAACTTGAACAATGATTTAGCATCCATTTTTGATGGTATATGATCCACAAAAACAGAGAAGAGACCATGCGATGCTTCTATGCCTTTCCTTCTTCCACCTTTCCATTGATTTACTACCGGAATCCATCCTCCTTTTCTTTGTTGCTCCATATTAACTCTACGGAATTGAAAAGTGTAGCTCCTCAGGCTAAGTTATTGGCTATTAGGTCTACCAAATATCTCCATTTTATCAAATCCAAGCAAGTAAGGCTCCATCAACTTTCATTTCATCCAAATGAAAAAGTATATTAATCTATTTCAAAATTCAAATTCAAAATGGGTAAGAGATTTTCAAATTATTTTAGGGATAAAAAATCAGTTTGACTCTAATTCAAATTCCTTCATCTGATTTATATCTTACCCAAAGATATTTCACAAAAAAAAAATTAAACTTATGAATCTCAAAACCCAACTTCCATGACAATATGAAATTGGGCAAAAAGATTAGAAAAGAGAAGGAATTTTGCAGTGGAATAAAACAGGTGATTTGACCAATTATGTAAGATTTTTAGCATCCTTTATAAAATAAAAAAATAAAATTGTGATGACCGGGTGTGCTTTTTGTCTCGTTCCCTTTGAGTTATGATCAGATTTATTCTTGTTATAGTGTAGGGTTTTTATGCGAAATCTTGTTAACCGTTGGATTCGTTGTTTTTGAAAGCGTACTCTCAAAATTCTCGTTCTTATTTACTAAAATTCTGAGTTTTACTTGCTTCGGGAGGTGGGAGGTTGGGTTCGAGGTGTCTAGAGTTGAATTGCTGAAATTTTTTTGTTTGGAAGCAGGGCCGCACATACCGGGATGAGAGTCGCACGTAAGGGAGAGGGGCCGCACATGCGGGAAGGAAGGCCACACGTGTGGTGAGGGAGGGGTTTTTGGGTTTGGCTACTGCAATATATGCAGGTACGGAAGGAGATGCGGGGGAGGCACTGCACGTGCGAGGATAAGTGTCGCACATGCGGAAGGCACTCGCTGCATGTATGGGAATGGGTGCCACATATGCGGAACTTTGCTGAGTTCGAAAATTTTTGTCCTTTTCTTTTCTTGGGCTGAGTGAAGCTCACTTTTTACACATCTCTCTCTCTCTCTCTCTCTAAAAATATCATTTCCTCTCCATTCTCTCTAAAAACCTCCTCCAAACACCAAAAACTCTTGATCTCTTGCAATCTATTGGGATTTTGATCCTTGTTCCTTAACCAAAGTTGGATAACCTCTCGAGGGCTACGTTTTGTGTGGTGGAGATTAAGTTTCAACACCATTGAATTTGAGGGTTTCATCTCATTCTCCTTCAAACTTGAGGTAGGGATTTTTCTTAGAGTTATATATATATTTTTGCAAGATTTTGTAGATTTTCGAAATTTCCCTTGTTAATATTGAAACTTGATTATTAGCTCAAGAATGTGGGTGGTTTGAGAGGAGATTTGCCCCTTGTTTCTTTTGAAATAATTTCTTGAGGGTTTTGAAATACATGGATTGAGGAAAAATGTTTTTGAAGAAATTCTTTCAAATGATTTGGGTGTGTATAGTTGTGGTGAGAAAACCTAGAAATTTGAGGGCTTTAAAAGATGTTGAAGAACCATGATCGACATTGTTACTATTATATTCCTTTTGTGCCAAAATGAAAGAATGATTGAAAAAATCCTTATTTTCTTTTATAGATAATGAACTTCTTGGAATAAGAGAATATTTTTTATCTTGAAAGTTGTTGTTTAAATGTTGATGTAGTCTTGTGGTGACTAAATTGTGAGGAATGCACAAAGTATGGGAATGTTGTTACTCATTGATGGTTTAAATGAATATGTGGCTATTTTGTGAAATGTCATTGAACGGAGAAATGGGAATTTTGTTGATTATGGAATTCTTGTATGAGATAATTGAAAATGGAGGAATGTTATGTGGCATTGATAATTGCGGCATTTGCATATCCATTCAATTTGTTGTTACAAATTTTAAATTGAGTTCAGAAACTTTTGCATTGAGAAAAGAATGTTTGTGAATAAACTTTTTAAAGGAATTATTTTGGGGTAAATACATTGGTAAGTCTGGATGGGAGGTATAGATAAAATTGATTAAGTTGGCCTGAGTGTCCGGGGTGAAAGACCAAAAACACGTGCGGAGAAGGTATCACTTCTGTGATGACCAGTTTCATTTTTACGTCACTTCACCTTTGTTTTACATCGGGTTTGCGATGTTCGGAAGTCTGTTCTCAATAAATTCTTGTTTTTGTTTATTTGGTGTTGATTTTCACTAGTTCCGGAGAGTGCGAGGTCAGGTTCGAGGTGCTTAGAATTGAGCTGAGGAAAATTCTGGGCTGTAGCGCCAGGTCTGTCACGACCCAAACACACCTCTATAGGTTTAGCATCATAACTGACCGGTAATCCTCGGATTACCAAAGGCCTCTTGACATAATAACATATAGTTAGGAGCTGTGGAAGAAAATATGCAAAACATATGATGTCCATTGAGCTGTGAAGACATACATGGAACTAAAAATCTTAAACTTTATATACATACAAGTGACGTCATAGGTATAGTATTTACACGTCACTATCAAGTACATACAAAAGGCGAACTTGTTCATAAAACAAAAGAAACAGTCTTATATATCCATATTGACACGGCCACAATACATGACTTGATCTAGAACATCCTCGTGAGGCGCAAAGGGGTGGCTGACCAACACAAAATACCCCAGGCATCATCTTAAGCCTGATCACGAGCCTGCTCACCTACATACATAATAAATAACTACTGAGCGGAGATAATAATATTTTAATCTTAAAGCGTAAAATGATGTACATGTAAAAAACTTAGGTTTTTTTTCTCCTCATTACAGTTGATACTACTCAACATAAATATCAACATGGAACGTCTTTTTGCTCTCACTCTCTCTCCATATATATATATATACTTATTCATATACGTATGTTATGATTAAGTTATTGGAATTCAGTAGAATTATTATTTTTGTTACATTCAATCATCGAAAAATTAGTAATACATCTTTCATATAGCTTGGGTAGTAGGAGAGATAAAAGATAATTTTCCTTCCTAGTTAAGATCCCTCGATATTATTATTTAAGTAGGTTAACTAGTAAGTGACCTATGCAATGCACAA